CCCCAAAACCCCAAAACCCCAAAACCCCAAAACCCCATTTCATAAGAAAATGGTTGAAACTTGGTCACAAATTGTTTAGAGAGAGCCTGATTTTAGGATTCCAGCTATTGATTTATTGCCAATCACTTTTGTAGACCTGTACGTTCCAATGAAGAGGATTAATAAGGAGATTATAATCATTGCAAGAATCATCTTGTATGGGAGCAGTAGCTCGAATGGAACCTCCATTACTGAGAAATACTGTGCTCCTAGAGTACTACTCACAGTGATACCAACCATTAAGCCCAGAATTATGGATGCAATGTTGTTGCTCAATGCCTCGATGACATAAATATTCGTAACATCATGACTGGTTGTTCCAATTGCTCTCAAAACAGCAATTTCGTAGGTAGAATCTCTGATATTTGCAATAATAGAGATAATCAGTAGGAAGAATGCGAGTATCAGGGCGATGCATGAGATAATCATGTTCAAGAACTTCATAATAATCATACTTGTCTCTACCTTCTCAATCTCTGAAATAGTGTCAACCACAAGCACTGTTTCTTCAATCTTACTACTGCCTGAATCAACCAGAGCTGAGAGTTGGTTCTTGACGATGGTTCGCTTGGACTTACTCAGACCTTCAGTAAGTCTGACAAAGAGCCTGATCTTGGGAATCCCGTAAGAGAAGAAATCCTCGCTTTCATCAAATTCGAGTGGATTCAGAAAAGTTCTTCTGTACAACTTAGCGTACTCATTCATGGGTACAATCATATCTGAGTCAAAGGCTCCGATTTTGAATCCTGTGTAACCCAAGAAACCTGGAACTTTCTTAGCATTTGCGATAATATTGGCTTTCCACTTGATAGTGCATTTACCAGAGGAAGCCTCAGTCATGACTGAAGTCTCGAATTCATCTTGAAGGTTACGGCCAAAACTGACAGGACCACGACTTTTCTGGGTGAATCAGATACTGGCTGAATTCAACTTGTCATTACCAGCATCGAAGGCGAAAATCCACTTGAGAGATTCTGGAATGAGAACATTAAAAGTTTCAATATCAATAATCTCTTCTTTGTTGTCTATTGAAGAGAGGATCTTTTTTGGGTCAAATTTTCCTGACTCCCAGTGAGAGATGTTATTGTTAGTGATCTCAAACATCGTCTTGACTGCATCCTTTTGGCCATGAGGAAGGTATTCATAATTGAACTTTGAGTTCTCGCTCTGTGGGTAATAATACTCATCTCAGATTGACCTAAGAAGAGTCTTCTCAACACCATAAATTTTAGGTACAGAGGAATCTCCATTAACATTCATGAGCTCATACCCATAATCATCTATAGAAGAGAGGGGAGAATTAGAGACTAATTTATCCAGATCTGGTGAGACGAAGGAGTATTCTTGTACAAAACCTTTCGCCTTCAGGCTGTCAAGAGTTTCTCTGATTTCTTTCTCGGGAAGGCCCATATCTTTCTGCTTAATAACTGTGGGGTCATTGATCCCGCCTGAGTAATCATGCCGCTGGAGGTCTATAAGCTTGAGAATAGCAATGTCAGCTCCAATTGCTTCCTTCAGGCCAGCACTCACTAGAAAGCCAACGTTGTCAAAATTACAAGTTCCGAATATCATGAAAGCAAGCGTGATCGTAAACATCATCCCTGTTTTTGAGTTACGAATCTGGTGATTCTTCAGATTTTTTGAAATTATTGTCCTCAATTTCTTAGAGTTTCGGTAAAAGGTTTCAACCAACCCTGTCAAGATCCATTCTTCAAAGTACGGCAATAGTATTTGGGCTGAGAACGAGAGCCCCAAAACCATGAATATCAACACAAAATCCATCACTAGCATGAATAAGTACATGTTATTGTTAAGAAAAGCTATTGGGGCAACGTAATATGTCAGAATCCCCATAACAATAAGAACTACTGCAAGTCACAGCTGGTTTGGGGATATTCCAAGCTGGTCTAATCTGATCCTCATTACCTTCATTTCGCTCATGTTCTGCTGAATCACATTTAGAGACTCTCTTAAAGACCCAGATAAGGCCTGCCTAATAGGTAAGATATTTGCAAAAACAGGCATTAGAAGACTAAATGTTATTCCATAATAAATTGACCTCCATCTTAGGACATAAGGCACTACAGTGAGCGACCATGAAGATACTAGGAAGCATCAGAATGCATACAGTAATGCTGCTAGGATAAGGCCTGTGATAAGGCCTGGAATGGCGAATCAGAAGGCTTGGTTAATAATAATGACAACGATGGACTTCTTTGACATTCCTAGAGTTCTGAGCATTCCCATTTCATATCTTCTTTCATCAATATCGAACAGCATCAATGAGTAGACTACAATCCCACTCACAAAGGTTAGGAGAACGATGATGCATATGAAGGAACTGTCTTGCATATCTGTGAAGACCTGGAAGTTCTCCATATTCTCCAGTTTTGCACTCGAAAGAGAGTAGTTTTGAGAAAGCTGGATGCCAATTTTCTCCATACGTATCTTCATCTCATCCAAATCTTGATGATAAATTAAGCTGTTCCGATCTTTATATAAAATGTCTGCTGACATGCCGAAATTACCAAGCTGGTCTATAGCTCTAAAGTACCTTGCAAATATGGAATTAAAACTGACTCCAAGGATCTTCAGCTCAGGGACTTGCTCAAGCCTGTCCATAGAGTTGAGAAGTCTCCTTCTCAGTAAGCTTTGGATAGACCTGTAATCCACCATGACTACATTTCCGTAATAGAGCGGCCACTTATTGTAAGGGTAGTGGATAATCTCCTTGATTCTGTATTCCTTCTCAAACTTGATATTCTTCAAACTTTCCTCTTTAGACTGACCAGCAGTGATGTTCTGGTCCTTCAGGATATTGATGAACGCTTGCTTTACGTCATCTTTGTTCCTAAGCAGGAACATTTTTACCAGACCCTAAAAGTGTTACTGATTTCCTAAACTTACGGTCGGATCAATTTTCGGCACCTCTGTTCTTAAAAAGAAATCAAAGAAAGCATCCATAACTGATGAGAGATCCATCTTGGGTGCATCATCTTGCTCTTGAAGCATCTCAAGACCTGTAGAGAACATCTCTCCATCTATATGGACGGTGAGGGAATTATTGGTTGGCTGGAGAAGATCTGTCAAGGAGTCACTGACATACATTTCATGAGAATTAAGTTCTTCTGAAGGAAATCCATGTGCCACACCAATATCATTTTCCTTCATGGAGTGAGTCACCAAGAGCATTCCTGGGGCTGATTGGTTCCCTGACATCACTCTTCAAGGAAGAGTAAATCTCCCATATACACCGTGGATCAAGTCCTTGGTTCTGTTAGAGGTCTCAAGTATTTCTTCAACTCTTGTAACGTTTGTAATAAAGCTACTAGGATCATCTAAGAATCTCTGAAAAATTTGCTGGGGAGTTTGCTTTTTGTTGTTGCTATATCCAGAATACATCCCTGAGTAAAGTGAATCACTATCTAAATCATTATCTTTGATTCTCTGTGAGGCCTGGACAATAGAGTCTACTAGATCAAGCTCTCCTTCAACTTTGGCTGCTCGGTTTCCTTTCACTAGTGGGGGGCCAAATGGAGGTCTCACAACTGCAGAAAGATCATTATCACCCATTGGATTGTGTGAGAAAAGTGGAGCTAGAGCCATTAAAGAGTCTAGCATGACTATAAAAGAGCACACCAAAGTAATTGTAAAAACTCCTATCCTAAAAGATCTGGGTTTCTTCTTTATATCCGATATCAAATAAGCAAGAGATTCCTTCCAGATAGTATAAAAAGATGGATGCTTGATGTCTTTCAGGTGCTTGTTTTTGGCAAATGCCTTGGACTCATCCTCTTCTGAGTTATCAGAAGAGCCACCTGCATCCGTTGTAATGGAAGTATCTTCAAATCTGATGAAATTATTCCCATTTTTCCTCTTTCGGTCTACATTTATCATGGTTAGCATATAAGAGATATACTAAAGAGAACCAATTCATTGGCTTCCTCAAGTGTGAAGATTTTATACTTACTACTTATCCCTGTTGAACCTCTCTTCATCTTTGATGAGTAAAAATATTATTAATTTCTTGGAAATCCTCAATAAAACGTCATATCAAGGGGTTTTGGGGTTTTGGGGTTTTGGGGTTTTGGGGTTTTGGGG